AGATGCAAAAGGAGATATTGGGTACTCTCTAGTAGTGATGTTAGCATGTGGGTATCAAAATATATATCTCAAAATATAGAGACTGAGCAGTCTCTATAGCAGAAATGTATTTGTTCACAAAGTTATTTAATTCTAGAGCTCTTCTTGGTTCTGTGGTTGCCTCCTTTAATTGAGCAGGTTTTCCATGTCTACAGCATTTCCTTTTAAGAAACAGAAAGTTGTCTTGGACAAACATTCCTCAGAAGAGGCCTTCCTTATACAGAACAAATGTCAGCTGAGGAAAGTACCTTTCCTCCAGCTAGATGGTAAATAGTTTAACACCAGAATGCTTGTTGGCTTATTTTTTTGGTGGCAATCTTGTGCCATAAACTAAAGCAGTTCATAGGGTTTTATTTGCCCCAAAATGCTGGCTCTAGTGATGCAATCTGAATTGCTCAGGTCAGGAGGCTATTCCAAAGGTACTAGTTTGCTTTTGGAAATGTCCTCCCGAAGTATCTTCCTTTCTACCACCCATCATTAAGACACTACCTCTGGGAGCAGAGAGGGACTTGGTCACGTTCCTTTTGGACATACTTCTCTGTAGCTACTCAGGGGCTTTCTGGTAAGTCTTTGTGAGCCAATGTTATGTCAGATTTGCAACAGTATCTCCAAAGTCAGCACCTCTGGCCTGGGCTCAGAAGCTTGTGCATTATTCTGATGACTCCTAAAGACAGTTCCCCATGCACATCATCCACATTTTTCCAGAATGCAGCATTTTTGGAGTAGATATTCTTATCTAATAGAGCCAGAGGGGGATTTCTGGTGTCCATCCCCTTCTCCCCAGCATCCTTCCCTTCTTCGTACTCTCATGGCCTCTTGCAGCCCTTTCATGTTGGGAGGAAAGAGCAAAAGTGGTTTCAGTAGCTGATGAAGACTAGGCATATTTGCCTGCTCTTAACCACTTCCTCTGATTAATGGTATTTGCTTTCCTTTTGTCATGCTCCAATGACTGTGTGCCATCTTGACCTAGCCAGCCTCTAGCTAAGTGACATATTGCGATCCAGCACAGTCAGAAAAAAAAATTCTACACCTTCCTAGGTCATCAGGTAGTGATAACTAGAACCAGCAATAAAGCATGTGCTGTATAATGTGTCCTGGAAAACTCTGGCTCTTTCTTCCCCTCAAGCTGAAAGTTAAGGTACAGGAAAACTATTGCTTCCACTAGCTAGTTTTGTTTTAACTCTGCTTCCAAATGTGTTGCATTGCATCCTTCAGATACCACACACACAATCTGGGCTCTGTCTAGGTTGGTGATATAGGCTGAGTGTTGGTCTGCAACAGTGTGTGCAGTAATCAACTAGTTATGTGCATGTCCCTCTACTTTTGATGCCTGCATATGACCAGATTGCCCTGGGTTCTTGCTGCAGAGATGCATGCACAGGCCAGTAGGGCTGAAATGTGAGGCAGGTCAACAAGTTACCCTTAATAAAGTCAGCATCTTCAGAAGAAACACAGGTGACTGAGTAGCAGACACTACTGTCGGGTCAGACCAGTCTCACCCTTTGTAAAGGATTCAGTATTCACATTTGTAAAGGCGAAGAGGTGAGCTGGGGAGTCTGCAGCCATTCTCCAACTTGAGTATTGCTGATACTGATCAGGAGCCATTAATGGACGTCTGCAATATGCCTTGTCTTCTAAAATACCCCATGACCACATTTTTAGACCTTGTTGATGGATTTCATTCTGTAATTCTCTGCGGATGGGAGATAGAAACTAAAATGTCTCTAGAGTTCACATGAAAGTGAGTGACCCTCAAGAGACTAGGACAATCCTTTGGATTTTTGATGTTGCAAAAATATCATTCAAATATGATCATATCTGCCTATGGCAACACCGACCAGCCCAACACAGGCTACAGCAGTCTCTGTGAGCTGCTGCTGGAGTTTAGAGGCAGTAATTGTGTGTCCTGTAACCATTCACTCCTTGTCAGGAGCTCAGGCTCCATGGATATACAATAGGCTGCAAACACAGAGAAAATATTGAAAAAAATCAAAAAAAAAAAGAGGGGTCTTAAGCTATTTTCTGGTAGATCTCTCTTTTGGGGTAGGCAATTAGGACCAAAGGAGATAAATATCAAAATTTAGCCTCTTTCAGGCTATGCCATACAGTGAAAGCAGAGCCAAGTACAAAGGTCGGCATCTTCGTTTTGTTTTGTCCTTACTTGAGATAAACTGCTTCTGAAAATGACAGCTTTATAGTACTGGTCCAGTGTGATCTGGGCTTGTCTGCACTGTGTATTTACATCCAAAAGACCTGCAGAGGAGCAGTGCATGGTGCTGTCCTGACAGGGTCACAGAGCAGGATTGCACATGGTGAGGATCCCCTCCTCCTGGGTTCGTGCCAATCTGTGCCCATCTCCCTGGTATTCAGGCATGAAGCAAATCCTGAGGGAAGGCTCCAGCTGGGTTCTCCATGGCACCAAGGTCTTGGTGGAGAGTTCCAGTAGCAAACGTGGCTGCTCAGCAAGGAGTATGGCCTTTAAGTTTGATTTGATCGGATGTCCTGCAGATGCCCTAGAAATTCTCAGGTGCCCTAAAGAGATGCAGTCATAGGTTTGAGTGTCTTCACTCTCAGTTTGCTAATGAATAATGGATTTTCTTAGAAATTTCTGTTTCCTCCGCTCCTGGGACTCATAACCTTAATCAGATTAGCACAAACCAATTTGCTAATGAAAAGTGAACCAAAGGCATTAGTATCAAACTAATGATAGAAAATTTGCCCTTCTGTGATACTGATCCTTTTAAGTATTTGTTTCCCTTCCAGACCTGAATCTGATCATCTAATTTGTCTCGTTGAATCATTTCTAATTGAGGTCTCTCCCTGTTTTGATTGCTTCTTTATTGTGGAAGAACAACAACCTTTGGAGTTCTCCCTACCAGGCGCTTTGGCCCGGGTTGGAGATGGCCACAGCCCAAGAATTTCTCTTGGAGCGGGCTGTTGTTCACATAGTGTTGAGCTGGTTAGGAATATCCCTCCCTGGCTGATGAACAATCTCCCTATTAGCACGGGCTGTTTCAGGGTGATTATATTCTTGACTAGGAGAAATCATTCCTTCTGACTTCTCCAATGGCATGACTGAACCTAGCTGCTCATTCTCTGTGAATTTCTCCTGTCAGTGATCTAGCAGAGGAAACGGGTTCTGCTTTGCCTGTGAGGAATTGGACCTGGCTGCTGAGTTTTTCAGTGCTGAAATAGGGTTTGTCCCTCTTGTGCAATGAATGTGTTGAAAATTGCCATCCTTGAGCAGCTGGACTAGATGGACATCTTTCTCATAAAAAAATGCTTGTGGGTGAGGTTTTCCTTGATGTTGGGAATACACAAAACATAAAAATCAAGAAGTATAACCATGATTAGATATGCTCCCTCCCTCCTTCTCTAGTCTGACAGACCAGGTCCATATTCTCAAAGGCAAAATCCCTTTGGTGCCACTCCTGTGGGCCTGTGGGTGTTTCAGCAGTGTTGTGTGCCTGAGGGCATGGAAAGACTAAGAGAAAATCAGAGCACTGTGAACCTAAAAACTACTAAATCGAACCCAAGTTTAAACTCTAGTTTAAACATTTCCTTCCAATTTTCTGTTTCCTCATTTCAAGCTTGATGAAAGTTTATTGGAGCTAAGTTTTGATAACAGTTCAAATGACGAAGAACTGTATGATAAAGTGATATGATTTTATTCTTACAGTAGAAATGGAAATGGAATGATATTCATCTAACCCTGGTCACTGAGAGCTTAATGTCCCATTCAAGATCACTGTCTCAGGTTCCTGTATATCAACAGAGGTATCTCCAGAGGGAAGGTCCTCTTATCTTAAGATGTCTAAGACATATAAGCAAATTGTTCTCAGGAATCACCAATTTCTCTTCTTTCACTGCACAGGTTCTTAGATGAGTAAGTTAAACTGGATGCAGCTTTACCAGTAAGGGTAGGGGAGTAAATACTGCAACAGTCTCTGCTGCTGTCTGCCAGCATCACACCATTATTGTTGACTTTCGATATTTTGTATGACATTTGTTATAGATCGGTGGGGATGTTTCATTGGCCTGTGCTGTGTTGAGGTGAGAGTCTTTGGATACTTAAAGACAAAATATCTGTTTATAGTAAGCTGCTGATCCTTTCTAGACTTTTATTTTATAGTTCTTTGCCATAATCAAAATGAGTCTGCATGTGCTGTGCATGATAAGTCAGTCCCTCCTTGTACTATTTAATGCTTCAAATGTAATAGGTTCCTTTAAAGATATTACAAAACTCATCAGTCTCAGCTGAACCCAGAATGAGGAATGATACCAGTCAGGCAACAGAACTGTTAGATCATTGTCCTAGTGAGTCTCTCACATTTTTTGATTTCATCTACTATTAACAAAGTGTTTCCTATTTGTTTTCTATCACTAATTAAATACTAATAATCATATGGGATATTTGTTTTTGAGTCTTCTCAGTCCTGAATTTTGTGATGCTGTTTAGTTCATATGAACTAATGCTTCCATGCGCTGAGACCCCAGCTGCAGGCCTAAGAGACAAGGATGCTAAAAAGAAATAATAGTTTTTTCCAGACTAACTGATATAATTGGAAAAATAGACAAGCTCTGTGGTTCAGAGCCCCTTCATCAGCCTGCAAATCTCTACCTTTTTCTGTTGTATATTAGCTCTCTACCTTTTTCTGTTGTATGTTAGCTCGGTAGCAATACTGCTAATGACAGATGGATTTGCTAAACAAGGGGACAAGTCTTTAAATGTTTGCATTTTTCCCAAGCCCTTCATCCCTGCTCCAAGCCAGAGCTTCATAACCTTCCTCTGGATTCTTTTTTGAGACAGATACGGGTGCTAGGGGTGCACCTTGTTTCTATGGTGATGTGAACATGTTTTCATTTTGTGTTTGAAGCCTTCCTACTAATTCCTAGTACTGAAGTAGTGCTTCTGTCTGTGGCTGAGCACCAAATCAATACTGTATTTCTCTTTAACTCAGAATCTGTGGCGATGAGATAGACGGCGGTACAATGACCATCCAGAAAGCCATACAACTTCTGTGCTCCTCCGATGACAAATACCAAGCTATGGGTGCTTACTACCTCCAGCACACCTGCTTCCAGGACGAGTCTGCCAAGCAAGAGGTGAGCTAACTTCTTCCTAGTTCTTCAGTCACGTTGTATGTGAGGGCACACTGCCTGGATGACACTGGATCCATCAGTGTCCAGCATCCATAGCTCCTCTTCATTTTGATTATAGACTCTCAAACTTTGTTAGTCCGACATAGGAATTAATTAAGTGGATTTTTAAACTATTAGTTGCTACTTTCTCTTAATAGCAGTGGGATCAGGATTTTAACACAGACACAGATGGATTTGGGTGACAGGAGAAGCCACCAGAGGAGAATGCTCTCCTCTCCTGCATGGAGCCTCCTCTCCTCTTGGAACCAGCTACACCTGGTTTCACAGGAATCTTCTGCTATATCAGCACTGCAGTGTCCAAGTCATACAAAATTACCCCAAATCCTGCTGTAATCTTTTCACTGTGCTTTGCTCAGTGACATTCAAGCCATCCACTTAATCCACTGGGTTAGTCAGTGGTAATGTACAAAGATATTTAGTCAAACAGAAGTGCTCCTCATAGCACATCTTATTTTTCTTCTGTTCTTACTCTGTAATTACTGGTTTTATGGCAATACACAGCAAAGGAATTTGCTCAGTGACATTCAAGCCATCCACCTAATCCATTGGGTTAGCCAGTGGTCATGTATAAAGATACTTAATCAAACAGAAGTGCTCCTCATAACACAGCTTATCTTTCTTCTGTTTTACTCTCTAATTACTATTTTTATGGCAATACACAGCAAAGGAGGCAGCTTAAAGGATGGCTCTGCTGTAGCAGCACTCTCTTACAAAAGTTTATCCCAATCCTAGCCTGTTTGCAGTCATGAAAATGCAGATTTCTCCAGATGGCATCTGTATAAATGTGGCTTTCTATTTTCTGGCATAATGGTGAAGTCAGGCTGGCACAGTGCATGAGCAGAACTTTGTCCCCAGTGCTGCTGAACTGAGTGCAGGGACCCCTGACTGTGTTATAGCCACTAACTGTGGTGTGACCTCTCCCTTGGTTACTGTTGAGAAGGCGCTGGCCTGCCCCATGGCTTCCCAGAAGGAAAGGATGTGTTAGAGCAAGTACACAGTGAGTCATGTGAACACATGATTGTTTTGTTTCTTTTATAAAAGGCCCTCGTTCATTATCTATTGTCAGCACATCTTCAGCCAATAGGTTTGTTTGTGCAAGTAGGAGCTCCACTGAGGCTTCTGTCTCCAGTAGACCTGGCGCAGGAAGGATTCCTATGGCAGGAAACTTCATTATTTCGGAAAACCTCAGCTGGTGGAATTCACATGGCTTACAAACCCTCCCCAGCATGTGTGTTATTTCCTTTAGGTCTGGATTCACTTCCCTTTCCAATGTAGTCTGACGTACTTCCCATTTTGGCACTAGAATATCGCCCATTACATCTAGTTGACCTCCAGGGCATTACACTGCCACTGCTACCCCTCTAGTTCGACCTGTGAATTTAGGATGTAAATAAATTACCATGTTGCATTATTATATTGCTATAGATGTCTTTTGCATATTTACAGGGCCTCATTTTCCCCTGACATAAACTGATGGAGGTAAGTGAGAGTTTATGGAAGCAAACAGTTTTATATTAGTGAAGGATTTGGTCCTTGGCTCGTATGAATCCATTATTAAAAGATGATTTTTAATCTCTAGGGCAGCACCAGGGTTCCCACCACCTATGCCATGAACACATTTTTTGCAAGCTCTAGCCATTTTTTACTGCCAAGAATATCTGACTGTTACAGATTTCTTTCTCTGAGCAATGCTCTGCACACCACATTGATGGTAACATTTCTTTTTTTCATGGCACAGGTCTATCGTCTGGGGGGAATCGCAAAGCTTGTTGAACTGCTCCGCAGCACAAACCAGAACGTTCAGCGAGCAGCAGCTGGAGCCCTCCGAAATTTGGTCTTCAGGAATCCAACCAACAAGATGGAAACACGGCGGCAGAATGGGATAAGGGAGTGTGTGAGCCTTCTCCGGAGGACGGGGAACACAGAAATACAGAAACAATTGACAGGTGCAGTGCAGATTGCCAAGGCCCCCTTGGCTGGTGTCAGCCCAGATATTCACTACACCAGCCTTGAGCCCCCCAGGAGCTCACCTACCAGCAAGGACCATGTATGTGGTCTGTGTTGCTCAGGACTCGGAGGCCATGTAACAAACAGGAGGATTTATGCTCCTGCTGCATGAAGTGACAGCTCAAAGTATAAGGCTGTGGAGGTACTGGCCCTTTGATATTCTGCAGAGACTTTCCATGCCACAAGTGTCCACTGGGGCTGCATGTGCCCCAGATTTCCCTCTACGAGTGTGGTAGCCCAGGCATTCTCATGCCTTCTGCAGCCTTGGCCCCTGTGCTGTTCTCAGGGAAGGCCCAAGGCACTGGTTACCCTCAGAAGGTCAGGCAGGTTGTATGGATGGTGTCCCAGCTTTTCTTGAAGGATTCAAGATCCTTGAAGGAATCAGGACCTTGAAGGATTCAGGTCATCCTCAGCAGTGCTTGAGATCCTGGGTTTGAACCTTCATTAGATCTCTAAAGAGATGCCTTTCCCTTGCTAAATGTATGGCAATAAATACCAGTTTGGACAGGAAGAATACTCAGATGCCCACCTGCACATGTTAAAAAGGTTTCTTCTGCCTTTCTCCTATTGGGATGGAGAAGGGCTACAGTTTAGCCTTTGCCCCTCATTATTTCAAAGAGGGATGGAGCGAACAAGGATTTTGTTCCTGAGATTTGCTCTGGTCTACATAAAGTTTCTACTGCATTGTGACTGTTCTGCTAGAGTTTGTCTCCTATTTCCTTTATAGGACTGCTCTGGAACCTCTCTTCCACTGATGAATTAAAAGAAGAGTTGATACAGGAGGCCCTCCCTGTCTTAACAGACTGTGTTATCATCCCTTTCTCTGGCTGGTCTGATGGTGGCTGCAATAGAACAAGAGAAATTATTGACCCAGAAGTATTCTTCAATGCTACAGGCTGTTTGAGGTGAGTCATCAAGCAGGGATTTGCAGTTGACATAAGCTGAAGATGTCTAAATCCGCTTACAATAGCTTCATTAATAGCTTTACAGTGAGTAAAGTTTTTACATACTCTTGAGAAAGTTTTCCTGAATAGAGGGAGTAGAAAAACTTCAATGTAAAATATTTTTAGCAGGACAGTATCTTCTGTCTTTTTTTTCTTCAAAATAAATTTGTCCTTGCAAAGTCTCTACTCACAAATTACAAGTTGCTTTGTCGGTAGCGAGTTGCAATACTGACTGAACAGTGTTCAGCTTAGACCAGGAAACTTGGCACTTTTTGTTCTTAGAGTCCAAGGTTTCCAAATACAATTTTGTTTGGTTGCTAGGAAAAAAAAAGTCCATTTTTTAGGTGCTAAAAGAAAGAGTTCTCTATGTGGAGAAAACAAGCATTTTCCCACTGATTTGAATAGATTTTAATAACTGTTTAACTACAAAATATTCTCATTGCCCTGGACCTTTCCTAGCACTCATTGACATGTGCAATTTACCATCTATCAGCTTGTTTCAGCAGATGGATCAGCTACAAAATGGGAGGTGCATATCAAACCTGGAGCAGGTTATCTTTTCACAGAAAAGCCAGAGCTTTTCTGTAGAAGAACTTCGTTCTGACTTGCTATTTCTCCTACCATCCTCCTCCACTTGGATGCAAGCTTCTTGTCTCACTGGGAACAAGTAGAAAAAAAAAAAGCAGGATAATTAGGTACTTTCATCAACTGAAGCTCTCCCCGAGGGAGTGCAGAGCCGACCGCACCCTTACCAGACATGCAGCTGGTAGGAGCTGTATCTGCTTATGAAACAAAATGGGTGAATACGGTAGGGGCCTTTGAGACTTGATACGATCAACTTTGGAGGCTGGGAAACGTGCCTGAAAAAGAGGGAATGCAGCTCCTTTCCCTGGCTTGGAAGAGAGTCTTTCTCATGCAGTTGCATGTCAGGGTGAATGGTATATGTAGCACATATGAGATATATGACACGATATATATGATTTAGATGAACTCCACTTATGAGATCATCTAAATTCGCCTGTGCCACAAGGTAGTCCATTAAAATGAGGGAAGGAGTATGACGTTAGAACCCACAAAAAAGGCTTTCAAGGTAGTTTAATTCAAGGCAGGCTCTGTCTTCTGATACTTGTTTATGGCAATCTATGGCACTAATATATGACACCATCACTAACTACTATCAGACTGCAGGTCAGTGAGGGAGCTCCCAGGGCTCAAGCAGAAGTCAGGAGCACGCAGGAGAAGGAAAGCAGGGCAGTTGGATCCAGAGCTCCTGCTCCAAGGGCTGAGCTGGGAGAGCCGTGACTCATTACACTGCAACACCATAACGCAGGGATGAGAACAGCCTTGGGTTTGCCCTGAGGTCGAGCCATTGCTGCTCAAGCATTTCTGGATTGCAGATGAATTCGTGTTAATGAGGAGGCTGCAAATCACAGTGAACATCAAATCCGGTTCTGGGATGCCTGGAGTGACTATCTCACAGCAATTGCCAACCTCTCTTGTTTTTCATTTGCAAGTGACAAGGCATTAGTAGAGGAAAGAAATATATATATATATTTATATGTGTGTGAAATATATATATATATAAAGCATTTCCTTTTACTGGAAAAACTCCCCGGTCCTGGCAGCAACCTACCAGAGTGCTCAGGAATATGGTACACCTTGGTCAATCCCTCTGGTCAGAGTTCTTGCTGCAGTTCATCATACCTGCCAGTGCTTCCCATGCAAATTTCTGTCAACTCTGTGTAGCTCCATGGTCACAAACATTTACACATTCCTGATTTTCGCAATAATTACAGGTGGTCTTTAGTCAGCCTGCTCTTTGGAAACACCTCCAAAGAGACAATCAACCTGTGCAACATCACATGCATAGCCTCTAAGGCATGAAAACTATTCATGATAGAAGAATGTCCCTCTTTAGTAGGACATCTTCCCACATGAAAGCTATATAAAACAGCATCACGAGAGCCATGCAGACTTACAGGAGGCCTGCAGAATGAAAGCAATACACCAGCTTGCTGAATTCTGGAAAAAAAAATAAAAACCTTTAAATTCAACCAGAGGCATTGACAAAGCAGGCCTGATAAAGACTTATGAGTGAACTCAGCTAATCCTCTTTCCTCCTTCTCTCCTGATATGCTTTGCAATGTCTTTCTTCAGAAACCTGAGTTCTGCAGATATGGGACGCCAGACGATGAGGAATTATCCTGGCCTGATTGATTCAGTCATGACTTATGCCCAGAACTGTGTGGCTTCTAACCGACCCGATGATAAGGTACCACATGCTTCTTCCAGACTGTCTGCTAGAGTTCAGTTCTGGCAGACTCACAGTTAATAATTACAACCTCAAGAGTATCTCAAAATCCCTTTGAGAGTCAAATGCAAGAGGCAAAGGGATCTGAGCTCCTGTTGTCCTACCAAATCCCATTGTGATCTATTGTAGGACTGCAAAGCCTCTGTGTTGTTGACCTGAAATAGATGTGGGTTTTGCAATTTCCCTTCACCAAACACAGAGCCATAGAAAAATATTTTGGTTCCTGAGCCCTCCTTATGCTTCCCTACCATATCTTCCCATCCCATGATCTTTCTGGCGTCTTGACCTACATCTCTTGGTTTCCCTATAACACATGCATTCCTCCAGCAGGACTTAAGATTATAAAAGCCAAATTGGCATCACACTTAGTAAGAAGCCAGAAGCTGGCATCATTTCCCGCTCCCCAAACCGTGACTCTGGTCACTGTGTGTAAATGGCACTGGAAGTAAATGGATGTCTGCATGTTTTGGTGTTGGCTACAGGTATGTAGCATATATCTAGCAATATCACATTTGCTAATTGTTCAGCCACAACACTCTATGACCCTAATTCATGACTACTCTATTACCTTTTAATGGAACATTCACTGCTTCGTTAAGCAGAGTCAAGACTTTATACAGTAGAACACCAAAAAAAAGATAACTATGCCATGGTCTGTATCCTCTCTGCAGCTGTAGCAGGTATTCTCCCATCTTTCTGTCTAATGCAATGCTTGCATCTTTCTTCTGGGGGTGACTTCAGTCTGTGGAGAATTGCATCTGCATCCTGCACAATCTCTCCTATCGCCTGGATGCTGAAGTTCCCAACAAATACACTCAGCTCAACCACATGGCCCGGAGTGTTTATATGGACAAAACTCTCACAGGCTGCTTCAACAGCAGGAGTGGCAAAATGGAGGTAAGAGATGCTGCAGAGGGCTTGGAAATGTGATATTCAACCCCAGGCATAGGCTGCCAGCAAGTAGCAGGATCTGACATGCAGTCTCTCATCTGTCTGTAGAATGATGAGTATGGCATCCCGCTTCCTGAGGAGGATTTTAAACCTAAAGGACCCAGCTGGCTCTACCACTCGGATGCCATCCGCACCTATCTGTCCCTGATGGAGCACAGCAAGAAGGATGCAACTTTGGAAGCTTGTGCTGGGGCCCTGCAGAACCTCACTGCAAGCCGAGGGCTGGTAAGCTCTCCTTTCTCTTCTCTGCCACATATGTCCAAACATATCAGCACCTTATGGCAGTCAGAACAAAAATGCTCTTATAGAGCTTTAGGGTGCTTATCACAATTCTTTCCACATCAGATACTCCAACTTAGATCTTTACATATAAAATTCTAAGATATCATCTCATGAGGAGATAGGATCAGTGAGCCAAGGGATCTGTCCCATATTTATATACCTTTCCAGGAGAACCTCCATATTTCCTGGTCTGCTGGTCACAACACAAGCATCTGCTGATATTGGTCCTCCTATGGTTCCAGCATGTATGCACAGAAATACACAAGTGGACAATTCTCCTTAAATTTTCCACAAGAGAGAAAGGACATAAGTCAGCTGCCTGTCCATGTTTTTATAGTGGGAGGTGGCTCTAATAACGGGGTGGATTGTACTGTGGATTGTAGATCATGCTTACATTGGAGGTACTTATAAAATAAGCATCACAGATGCTCCAATCCTCTTGGTATGACAGCATGGAGGTGACACGGGCTGTGGGTATTGCTGGGGCTAGGGCACTGTAAGTGTCACGTCTCAACAGCATCTCTGTTTGCAGTGCCCAATATCACTATGGCATGTCCTCACAGGCTGTGCTCGTGTGGACAAACCTCAGCTTGCCTGTTTGTGTCGAACTTCATCAATTCTAATTTAAATAAGATGGCTAGGTAGATAAACAGATAATTATTTCGTATATAGGAGAGGTGTGTCACGTGTGCAACGTGTTCCACCCAGAAACATAGACTGACTCACTGAAGGAGCCTTTGCTGCCAGGATGACATTAAACTGCCAGTGCCAATCTCCTGCTGGGAGCTGTTATTATAAGTCTTTCCATGCGAAAATACTTTTTTTTTTTTCCAACTTAAGTAAATGGTGCCACTAACAACAGGAGGGAGGGAGACTGTCATGCTGTGAGGCAGAGCTGATTGGAGAAATGGAGCTAGAGCTGTGTACTACATAGGAATGAAAAGGATTTCAGCAATCAATGCAGAAAAATGTCTTTTTAAGTTGGAAAGAAAGCAAACAAACACAAATTATTGACTGAGTCAAAATAACTAATTTTAGCCTTCTGAAAAGAATAAGTGGAATTTGCCAGAATGTGTAGAAATGGCTTTTTCTTCCAAAGCTCTTATTCCAGCTCAGATCTGGAGTTGCAATGGTTTGTTATCACTTAAGGAAACAAGAGACTGGTGAGAAGCTTGCCAAGGGATGTTATTAACCCTGTAGCTTGTTGAGGAGGTGTCTGAATCTCTTCACAGCCTCAGCTTCACACATCTCAACTTGCTGTTATGAATCCTTAACACAGCACATGTGCCTCTTGGAGCGTGGGAGGGAAACTGGATCTCAGCCCCTCCTGGCTCTTCCCCTCCATCCTCTTGGTGGTGGTGGTGAAAGTTTGTCACTCTCTGGTGGTTCGATTGTCTCTAGTAGCCTGTCTGGTGGAGTAGCTGAGAAAATCAGTGTAAACTCTACCAACAAGTGGGCAACTTAGTGTGCTTCAAAATTCACAAGCATTTGGCTGCATCAGCACATTCGAAGGATCCTCTAGATTTACATTATCAAGCATGAAACTGTGATCCAAGATATGCACTGTTGGCCTTCAGCTTGTTTCTTAAATGTGTCATTAGCTGTTACTGCTCTGTAGCAGTCTATTTTTTTATGGCATGGCCCGGATCTAAGTAAGGACATTATAGATTATCAAGCATGAAACTGTGATCCAAGACATGCATTGTTGGCCTTCAGCTTTTTTCTTAAATGTGTCATTAGCTATTGCTGCTCTGTAGCAGTCTATTTTTTATGGCATGGCAGAGATCTAAGTTGTAGCATGAAGGTGAAAATTCTTCAGCTAATGGAAATAAGTTGGGTGAGAAACTGTCCCCCTTTCAGGCCTCCAGAAAGAGGACAGAAGTACAAGTCATATCACAGAGGATGAGTTTGCAATGCGCTTAGCTTATGGAGGAGTAAATGACAAAGTAGATGGGATTATGATAGCAGAAAAAGGTAGTATATGGATGCTTGTTTTATAGTGTAGACATATTTCACTCTGTACATTGTTCCCATTGTGTTCTTCCAGTAGTAGAAGTCATCAGACATCTCTGTTCTGTCTCTGTTCTGTCTCTCCTAGATGTCAAATGCCATGAGCCAATTGATTGGTATGAAAGAAAAAGGTTTGCCTCGCATTGCACGGCTCCTTCAGTCCAACAGCTCCGAAGTTGTCCGGTCTGGGGCCTCTTTGCTGAGCAACATGTCCCGACATCCTATTCTCCACAAAACCATGTGTAAGTAATTTCCAACATAGAGTATTCCAAAACAGTGTCTAGTTTCTAGTGTTCCATTATCTGCCATGAGCAACATGTCCCGACATCCTATTCTGCACAAAACCATGGGTAAGTAATTTCCAACACAGAGTATTCCAAAACACTGTCTAGTTTCTAGTCTTCCATTATCTGCCGCCCCATCTTGTAAACCCCCAAGACAGGATTCAGATGAGCACCCAAACGGGACAAAGGGATGTTATTTGTTCTGGCCAAACAGGCATTACAGATGATATCCGCTTTCTTAACAAAATGCATGCTACTGCAAAGTCCACATAAGGACATGGTATACTTATGTATATGAAATGACAAATCTGTGGAGTCACCCAGCTGCCACCTGGGCGACTGTTTTGGGGTCTGAGTTGGATTCGATTACCCCTGACCCATGCATTGGCCTTCATATCAGTCATGGCCACTGTACTGTTACTGTCCAACATGATTAGTGTCTCTCTCAGAGGGTAATGAGCATTCTTGTACCAAATTATGCTTACTCAAGTAGTATTGTTCATTAGGTTTTAGGTTTTATTTAAATGTTGATTGTAACATTCCACCTTTTTAGCTCACCAGGTGCTTCCAGATGTATCACGTCTCCTATCATTCCAGTCTGCAAATACCAACAGCTATGGAGAGATCATGACATCAGCCTGTTACACTCTGAGGAACCTCATCATGTCCAACCCCCACCTGGGAAAGTCTTACTTGACAAGCAACATGCTAAATAATGTAGTAAGCCTGTGCCGAAATGGGTGAGTTTGGAGCAGAAGTCATACAAAGCTTCATGTGCAGACATTTTGGAGCCCAGGAAGTCTGTGCAAAACCAAATTAATTCAAGAGCCTCCAGAGCACCAATTGAGAGCTTTAGGGACTGAGTAAAGCATTCTTATTTCCTTATCCTTGTAACTGAGTTGAAAATTTTCTATGTTTCTAGTAGACAGAAATTCTCAGCATTAATTCCTTGGTAACAGGCACGAGCCAGCCAGGGTGGGATTTGTAAAGGAAACTTAGGAAATTCTCTGATCGAGTTCAATGAAATTCTGAAAGGAACTGAGGGACTAACATCTTATACTGTGTTAAAAATGACAGCTCTCAATACAACGGATGTCAAGTATGCGACCTGACACTGTAGCACCTGGGTTTCTGATCCATAGCTTCCTACAGTCCTTATCATGAAGGTCAGCTGTGAGATTCAAGCACTGCTGATATGCTCCAATCATGAGAACCTAATGCATCATAAGTAATTGGGATTGTGCTTATAGTTTTAATGTTCAGATTTGTTCATCTTTTGATTGGAGCATGGCGAAAACATGATAAAGACAAAGCTGTGATGAAGCATATCTACATATATACTCCAGGAACAGCAACAACTGAGTGGTCCCAAAATGTTTTATGCACTATTTCTCTATTACTTGATTTGATTTTTGGTGGTAATAATTCTGTCCTGCTAGTTGTCCATGCTCCAATCATGACAATGCAAAAGACTGTCAACTCTTGCCATGTGATACATTTGTTTCTGGCCAAATTGGTATTTGACTTATAATGGATCTTATAGTCTTTGGCCATGTGTTCCCTTTCCTAGATTTTCATCTCTCCTACTGTGTTCACTATAAAGTATCTTGTGTAAAGACCAGACATACTAATAATAACAGAATAGACATTCACCTCTCCTCTCTATCATCCTTTGATGAACACTTACAATTGCCACGTGTTCCACTGTGACACAAATTGACGCTCAGTCTTTAGAAGTTTCCTCTTTCCTTAGTTTGGACCTCAACCAATAACTGCTGGTTAATTTGCTACTTTTATAGGCTTCCACTCTAGTACAAGCCCAATTAACAAGCCCCCTTCTAAGCCTGTGTTCATTCAAAGCCTGGTATTAACTTCTGCATAAGGTCCTGTTTCAGTTCCCCCAGACCAAACATGAGCTAATTTGCTACCTCAGCAAAGTATTGCACAACTTGGATAGTACACACTTCAATTGTCTTGGCTGTTTTGTGTCATGAGCTTTGTTTTTAATGACTCACTGAACTGTGTGAGGAATTACTAAACTCCTAAAATGTCTCCAGTGTGTTCCTCCTAGCTTAGTCCAAATTCTTTCTGAGAAACTCCCCAGTTCTTATTGCATCGAAAACTTGAGTTGTTCCCATTACTTCATGATCCGTTTCCATCTCCTAGGACTTTTTTCCTGCTCCTTTCTGATGAAAAAAAAATGCCAGTGATTTACACCCAAGATTACTCTGTACTTATTCCAATCATCATTTCAGACTATCCCCACAAGGCAAATGTGAAGACGATCTCTCCTCTAGCAGTTTGGATCTGCTAATTCACAAATCAGATAACTTTGTCCACTTGTCTGTGTAGACTATGAAGAGGACATTATAGGGTGGAATTTGTTCAAACTTCCAATTTAGAAAGAGCTTAGCCTAAACTGACTATCTCTACCAGCGGCTGTTGTCTAGGCTAGCTTTGATCTCATGTCTTCTGTACAGACACTTGGTGTGATGAATCCCATGCTATGAACCTGCTTCTTCCCAGTATAAAAAGCTGCAGAAATAAAGAAGAGAGGGGCAATCAATGGCAACCAAATCACCATGGTGAATCCCATGCCGTGTTGTAGCTTGTCAGTGCATTGCACACTTCTCCCTGTCACTTGGCCTCAGTTCCACCATGAACACTCTTCCTTTGCTTCAAGCATTGCCTTACAGTTGGTTGATGTGTCTGTGTAACACCTCCCCAGTAAATGCTGCTTCTGCATTTTTATGCAATCCATCAAAAAGTTCTTTGCCTGCAGTCTTTAATTGGGGCCTCTTTGCATTTGAATTTATAAATCATTAGTTTGTTTACATCCAACACTTGATTAATTTTGTATTCATATTTTAGTATGAACTTCCAGGTTATAGACAAGTAGATTATGAATCTTTTCCTTTTCCATAAGCTTTTTAATTGGCAATTCCTCATGCATTTCTCATCGTTGGGGTTATCTTTTTTTATTGCTGCCTCCTGTGGCCATATGCTGAGTTAAAGGCATAAACTGTTAAGCTGTTTTTCTGACTGTGGTTTCTTCTCCTTCCTGGAGCACCCCAATTAAAAAACATTCTCAGTCTCCTGCCTATATCCTCATTCATGACATGGACTCCATAGTGATGTTTGTCCACTCTTTATTAACTTTTTAATCCAAATTGCCAAATATATTGATTACCTTCCTTTGGTATACCTTTCAGGTATTGATTACCTGAAAATCAAACTATTATTACTAATTTATTGTGATGTTCTTTCACCTTTCCTCTTCCAGCTATTTGAAAAACATTCCTTTAGTCATCTTCAAGCAACATTATTTTTCTGAAAAAAAAATCACTTTTTTCTCAATAACATTCCTGGCTGCACTGAAAGTTTTTCACCAAGTCTTTTTCTATAAATTTAGAATGTTGGATTTGCAGTTCTTCTCACAATCCCATTGTCACTGATTTGTTTCATTGTAATTTTCTTTGATCTTTAAGTTATCTCTTTTCTGTTACATAATTTAATTTGCAATTCCATTATAGAATTGCGATCTTCATGTGTGATGTTTCGGTATTATCTGCAGAATCCTTTGGGTGATTATGACCAGGTTAAATTTGGTAATTTCTGTTATGCTAGAAGGCCTTTTGTACCAAATTTTGTGTATGTCAGTGAAATGTCTCAAAATTCTTTCAGTGGGGCTGTGGGTCTGCCATTTTACAGAAAATTTTTACATTTTACGGACTGGGGCTGTCACACTAAATCCCAAAGTCTCTCACAGTTAGGCCATGGTCCAGCAGATCAGGAGCAGTGATAAGAACCAACACTGAGTATTATATCTAGGTGTATGAAATGTTCCAAAATTATAGAAGATACTGTATATGAATCATGGTTTCGGAGCTGTTACGTGAGCAAGTATCTATTAACTTGTGCTGAGTAAGGAGTTATGATTACTGTTGTTGTTATTACTAATGCTCCCATCTCTTCCAGCCTAACCAGAGCCCTTGCCTGTATTGCTCTTCTGAGGATTCACCCACACAGAGTTCAGAGAGGGATTGGCACCCTTTCCCTTCTCTTTCACTGTTTCCCAAATTTTGCACTTCAGAAACAGACCTTCAGCTCAGCTTAATCTCCTTATTCCATTCAAACCTTCCTATCCTTTTTTATTAGTCCCAGTTTGGTCCCAGTGGTCATTGTCACATAATACTATTGGGTGAGCAATGAAGATTTTATTGACAAACCTCGATCAGGACTATCTAGCCCCTCAGCAGAAGACAGGCTCGTTGAAGGGCTGTTGCTAATACATACAGATATGTGTGGGTTGCTGCTCCATGCCCTGCCGTGATTCACTGGGATTACTCTCATTTCCCAGCTCCTGTCCAAAAGCAGCTGAAGCTGCTCGCCTCCTCCTGACGGATCTTTGGTCAAACAGGGAGCTGCAGAGCGTGCTCAAACAGGTAAGGGAAATACTTCTGCTTGTCAGCTGGCGGCACAAACCTCATCTTGACTCACCCAAGATGGTGAGTTTGCAACGGTCACAGTTCAGAGCTAAATATGGCCAGGAGAAGCCCAGAGCACTGGGACACCCAGCAGTGCTCTCAGCACAGGGGTAGGATGAGAGGAAGAGAAAGTGAGTTGCAACAGCAGGTCCCCAGACTGTCTTTAGAGACTAAGCAAATGAGGGCATGTTTGGGTTGGGCAGTGCAATGCAGAGAGGTCCCCTGGAGCTAGTGCTAGCTCAGGTGGGCTCTGCTGTGATGCAGCCACCTTGCTCCAGGGATTAGAGCTGTGGTGTGTGCAAGCACAGCTCTGTGCTGGGACTAGACCAGGTTCTTTCATGCCAGCTTGGGAGATCCCTGCACCCAGTCCATTGTGTAGGGTAGGTATGCATGTCCCAACAGATCTCTGGCAATGTTCCTCCTCTCTTTCCCCACATTTTCTTCTGTATTCATAATCCTACTCTGTGGTCACATCATCCTCATAGTCAGGGTAGTCTTTTAAAGCAATAAGAGGAATATTTATGTTTTGTTTTCCTCCATGCACCAGAAAGAGGTGCAGAGCCAGATGGGGCACTGAGCCAGGATTCCAGCTCTCGGTGGCTTCCTTTGAACAAGCTGGGTTTTTCCAACTCAACATCAACAGCACCTGCACAGAGTAAACAGCCAAATTAAAGTGGAGTAACATCCACAAAGTGAATACCCTGGGGATGGGAAGGTAGAGAGTACCCAAATATTTCTATATTAACGGTTAGGGACTTTCTCCCTAGGAACTTGGGCAGCTTTGCGTCAGACTCTCCTTAGGAGACCTGCCAACTCATTTGGATGTGCCTGAGTCACTCCTGTATATTACAGAGATGTTCAATGCATGGGTATACATTAGAAAATGCATATGAAAGTCTGCAAGGGTATGTGCATCATGCATGTATCTTTTGCCATTTTTTCTGGCACAGGGAATAAGATTAAATAACATTCAGTAAAGGCTTTCTCCAGTAAAGTTAGAGAAGTCCAGGTTTTAGCAAATGGAAAGCGATTCAAGGAAGATAAAGTCCATCAATAAGGATGACTATGCACATGCCAAGGACACACCAAGGTAGGATTAAGCAGGTTCTTTGTACAGAGAAGAAAACACACTTTTTTCACATGAAACAGGAGGCTCTTCCTTATAACACTAGACTATTGGTTTTGAAACCACCAGGCATTCACAGAATTTCATATGCATCTGTTTTTTCAGCAAGGATTTGATAAGAACATGATGGGATCTCTAGCTGGAACGACCTTCAGGACCCTCTCTTCCAGATTCTAGGAGCCTTTGCACATGTGTTCCCACTGCAGGTGAGAGTGGGACCCTTGTCATGGAAAGGGAGGTCCTTGGGCAAAAGAACAGTGCAGGAGCCACACGAGCCCTTTGCTTACAGACCCCCTAATGTGGGTTTGTGACATTTTCATCAAAATCCTATTAGCCCAAACTGCAAAGCATTTGGTTTCTTGAAAAGTCAGAATTACTTTTCTTGCTTTTAGTGCTGCTTTTGCTTTCTTTGCTAGCTAAAAAGAGAATAATCATGGTTTGCCAAGTCCTCTCAGATGGGGCTTTTCAAAGGAATGTCTTTGAGAGTATTTTCATTCTTGAATTTTGAGCGGTGTTAACCAGAAGTATGAATAGTAACATGCAACTAATTCCAGCACATACTATGGCACTTGCCATCACCCTTAGGCATTTTATGATCATTTAAAAATTTTTGGAAAGCCTCAGGTCAAAATTTGGAACAATATGCTACCATCTGAATAATCTCAATGGAGAAACCAGGTTAGAGAGATCAAGAGAAGAATTTTCAAGGCACCACTATGAATTATTATTCAGTATGAGATGAGGCCTGAACATATAAGGTGCTTGTGGTTCATAATTCTCAGTGAAGACAAAAAAATTTAAGTAGTTTTGCATTTCTCAAATATCAGGTTTCTGTATGGTGGGGACCAAAATCATGCAAAATAAATTATTTGTTCCCTCCTGAACATGCTCTTTGTGATGAAGCTAAATATGGTCTTGATGCAAGAAAAATAGATGCAAAAGCCAAATTATTTCCTATGCCCAGGAATGGATTTCACTTCTTGCTTTGCTGGGCTGTTTTCACTTCGAATCAGCCTGATCTGTGATGTGGAAGTCTAGAGGGGAAAGAAAGGTCAGGGTAGCACAGAAATTGGGGACAGACCAGAGAAAAAGATTAAAAGTTGGTTTTGAGTGTAAAGAAAAGATTTATTGAATGCTAAATTATCTGGGTTTTTCTTTTTTCCTTGTTTTTCTCCATTCAGAATTTGGATTTGGTTCATCTCCGGGATGACAACCCTTGCAGAATTATTTAGGATGTTAAAGACGTAGAGTGTTTCTGAGTTAAACTCAACTGTAAAGCAAACTAAACATGCGGATATCATCTGGATGATACTGATATTTTTAATCATTTTCTTCTTTTTAGGGGGGGAGAAGGGACTTTTATTAAGGTTATACTTTCTTGATGTCAATAATTATTTTTTTTGCAAAAAGTGTGTCTGTGTAACTATGTATGTGTAGCTGTGTATGTGTGCATGCCCACAACATACATGTGCACACATGATGAGTAGGATCTTCCTACTAGCATAGTCCCCTGTCTTCCACTGAAAGTCAGTGTGAAATGTGCAATTAACCCCCTTGCAGAGTTTTGACTAATTCCACCGTATCCGTGCGCCAATTACTGCCACACTAAATACTTGTCACAACCTAGTTTTACCCACAGGTATAAAATTGCCAATGATATGTTAAGTCTTCACCCCATTGCATATGGCTCTTATAAACAGATACACACCACAGTGCTCTTCTTCTTCAAAAAAAAGCTTATTATTCCTGACATTTATGAACATGGGCTTCTTTTCTGCTTTTGAATTGTTCTCAAATGAGCTCTTATAGTTATTAGTGTTTTCTTTTGTGTCACATGAATTCTTTTTCTTAAGAAGCAAATTCATGTCTACAAACTCTCTCCGGGATCTCAGTAACCATTCTCTGAAGCTATATGCTAGGGGCAACTATAACACATCTGCAGAGCATGAATATACTGGGCTCCCAAATCCTTCTGAGCACCAGAACAATCATTCTGAACACCAGAACAACTCAATCTTGTGAAATATGTCCAATTCTTTCCTTTATAACACTGTACCTAGATAAATGCAGCATTTGAGAAGCTGAGCTGGAGACATCAAATGCTATAATTTTCCCCTGGATCATTGACCGCCACATAGGGCTTGAATGCGAGGGATGTGGCATGTTTAATTGTGTTTTGTTTTTACTAATCAATGTAAAGAATTAGCATTAAAATGCAAAGGAATGTAAACAGTCGTGTGAAGTCAGATTTGATAAAGTTTTATTTCTCAGTATGTTTAATGACCTGAATCACTCTGTCCTGCTAAAGCGGTGAGAGGGGCTGCTGAGCTCCTGTTAGGGCAACTCACCTTCCCCTGTGCCATGAAAGGCCCCCGACCAAGAGGGGACATAGAGCCACGGGGATGGGATCAGCTACGTTTCCGAACGCGCTGTCCTGTGTGCAAGACTCCTTTGAACGATGAGAGGCCACATGACACCACTGGGCAAATCTGAAATATCCAGGAGGTGCTTGGGAAGGACAAATTACGGAATGGAGTCTAGGTAGGGAAAAGCATCTTGGGTTTTTTTTTTCTGTGAGGAAAGGGGGTAAAAGCTGGTGTCAGGCTTCTGAGTTGCTGGAAATCAGCACAGCCCCATTCACATCCTATAAGTGCTGTGTTTGTAGCAGCTGAGGACCTGTCCATAAAGCTCAGGTTTGCTCTAGACATAAGAAATGTGATGGCATTTCGCCTCCTCTTCAGCATGTGTCCGCAGAGCGGACCAGATGGAAATGACTTGCTGGATGTTTTTTCTCTTGGACTACAAAGAGTGGCTTCGTCTTTGTGCACTTTAATGAGCAGCAGCTATTTGCTTGCATTCACCCACAGTCGGTCGAGAGCTTTCTGTGCAGAGCTCTCAGCCAAATGAAAGAGAAAAAAGCACCTTTGAAGTGGAGAGCTAGAACCAGGCGAAGCCGGTAGGACAGTTTCAGCAGTATTTAAGTGCAGCAAAGGAGCCTGGGCCCGTGGGCTTGCCCTTGCCATACCTGTAAGTTGTTGAGGATTTGGGTATCCGAAATGGCTGCAATATCCACAGGCAAGAGGTCACAGTTTTGGTGTAAAAGTGTGTTGTATGCAATTTTGCATTCAGATTTGTTCCTGTAATTACACGTTTTCAGCAGAAGTCCTGGGAGCTAGTTTTTTTTTCTTTTCTTTAAAATTAATCTGGAAAGCAATTCAAATTTGAACAAAATAAGCTAATGGAATGAGGAAATTCATTCTAATTGGCTGCTACTTAATCTTTATTTTAAAACAGTTCTGCTTTCACTGGTAATTTAGTTTAGTATCACTATATAAGGCACAAAGAGCTGTAACTATATGATAATGGTATGACAATTATATCTTTTACAAGCACTGGAGATTTCATTAGTAGTTATTAAACATGAAGAAACAGATGCATCATTCACATAAATTCTATCAAGTTCAGCAAACTGCTTTTGCCAAAGCTAATAAAATAATAAAAATAAAATCTGTCTCCATCCTCGGAGATCTTCAGAACTAGACTAGACAAAGCCCAGAGCAACCTGATCTGACTCCTTGGTTGAAGCAGGAGGTTGAACCAGATTCCATCCTAAAATTAGGATTCCATCCTATGTTTTTTGTGATGCTGTATGGTACTGCTCTCATACCTCAATGAAGAGAGAGCAGTGTGCTGTACAAATAGTAACCACTCAGTCATCCCAGGGCTATTTTGCAGCTCTTCTTTCCCCAGGAAATTTTCTGATCACTTAAATCTGTTTTCCTCCCTTTTTAAAATCTAAACCACTCTGTCCAATTCAGTGACATGACACTGATGTCGAATTGTTAGAGGAAGGAAAATTAGACATATGGGAGTCCATAATGCTATTTGTAACAAGCAGTTTCAGAATCTCCTTTTCCAAGCACCACTCTTACCAGGGGCAGAGTTCAGCGCTGCAGTGAATGGATGCCATTCCCACCTCCATTACTCTTTCCAGGGAGACATTGCTCCTTAAAGGCATGTCTATAACTGTAGCACCCTCTTCCATGAGCTCTTTTCCCCTCTCTTGCTTGTTTGGGAGCCAGGATAGGGCATAGCCCCAGTGGAGCGGTGAGGGCAGACTGCAGCACATAGCACACGCTCTGAGTCACGGCGATGGAGAACTACCGAGGAGGGAAGCACCATAGCTAGGAGCACCGTGAGCTCTGCCCGCAGTGGAATTAATAGCAGTTAGGGCATGATTTGTGCACAGGACATGCATCATGTAAATAAATACCATACTTGTTTGTCCTGGGCATAGCAGAGTGTTTTGGTCTATTTTCTCATAAGTGCTTTGTTTGTTTTGTTTATGTAAAATCCAACCCACCCCAGCATTTCAGAAGCCTCATGGACGAGTAGAAGGCAGGAGGCAGTTTTATTCCTCTCTGACCACACACCAGTTTGAGATCAACTTTGCCTACCAGTCCATAGCTATACAGTGTATTCTGTAAGATATAGGTATGTGAGAATAATGTATCAGAGTTTTGTTTTGGCTGTACTGTATGTATTTGCTTCATTGGAAAAGCTGAAATCAATAAAAACTGCTGAAATTTCTTCAAGCTTCCCATTTGGTATGGTTTTATTTTTGTTGTCATGCCGGAAGGTCACATCTATTGGAAAGGTTTGTAAAATCCTCTTACGATGCAGCACTGACTCTGAGCCCTGGACTGCTCTATCTTATGCCAGTCTGAGGAACAAGGCCGTAAATCCAGTTTCCTTCACCAATGCACCTCAGTGGCAATCCTCAATGGGTTTCTTCCCCCTGAGCTTTTGCAGCCATCCCTTGAAACTATGAAACTTTTAAGTGTCAAGAGCTTCATTCTTCTCTCTGCTCTAGGATCTCCAGCTCGTTGTGGGTGGTGGAAACTCACCACCTTTTTTCTGAACCTGGCCCATATGAGTCGTGTTGGAAGCTCCCTAGGTCTTATATGGAGAATGGGCTGAAAAGTCCTGGTTTACAGACTAGACCCTTAGTTTGTAGGCGCATTGACCTTCTCTGAGCCTTTTTCAAATAAACTTTTTCCTTTCTGGAACAAGGATACATATGCTGCACACAGAGTGCAAAGTGTAAGCAAGCCATGGGTTCATACAAGGATGTAATGTCCACTTTACATTCTTCTTCCCTAACAATTCCTAACTTT